AGCTGTGTTTAGTTTTGTTTTTAATATACTGTATGTGTATGACTATGCTTCCATGAATGAGCATGCCGTTTTCACACAGAGCAAATCCAGAGTAAAAGCCTCGTACCGGTTCTCCCAAGTCCTTTAGCTTGCTTTTTAAAGTCTGAATTTTTTGGTCTTGGTCAGCGAGCAGCATGAGGAGATCGTCCTGCTCCTTCTTAGAATCCGCCACCTCCTGCTGCAGCTTGGCCTTCTCCGTCTGCAGGATGGCCACGGTGCTGTTCGCTTCTGCCAGCTGCCGCTCCAAGCCGGCCCTCGACTCCAAAGAGCTCTTCGCCTCCTCCTGAACGAGGGGACAAAGGTTGGCGGTGAACAAAAAAAACAAAAAAAGTTGTAGAAATCCAACTCTGGCCTGGGGTCATCACTCCTGGCTTGAGTGAATTTTGAACAGACACCAGCTGTTGTAGAAATAGCTGAAAGGTGGGATAACATTATCAGGAATAGCCACTGGAACATAAGTGAAATGATCACACTCTTTAACCCCCAATAACACGGCTTGACACGAGCTGTAATAAAACCCTCTGTAGCACAGCACTGTGGGAAATACACCTTGGGTGCGTTTCCTTCAGTGTTCTGTGGAAGTGGTCATTTTGGTTACAATTAAACTCGTCTCAAACCTCCACTGGACTGCACTTTGACGCCCTACATTCCTACAAGAGAAACCTCTGAGATGACAGGTCATATTGCAGAAACCCACACACGTGCCGCAGTCAACCCGGAGAGGGCACGCGAATCGTCAAGACGTGGGCCGGCAAGGTGTCCTGCAGGAAACCAGTCTTAGTCGACAATCGTTTACAGGCTTAAAAAAAAAAAACAAAAAAAAAAAACAACAACAAACCTTTAATTTTTCTGTCTCTCCCATCAGAGCCACAAGCCGGCTCTCGAGTTCTGCAATTTTGCCCGAATCTCCTGCTCCGTCTGTGCTGCCGGCTGCTGTCGGAACTGAGACCATGGCCTGCAAAGAGATTTCATATGGAACATAAACACGTGAATAAGCACCGGCTTCTTTTATCGGCATGTTCTAGGCAGACAGCATTCTCCAGGGTGACTTACAAAATAAACAACGATACGTTATGCAAGCACAAAACGATCATTCAAATTCAGAAGAAAAAGGGCAAAAAGGCATGTGTTGGAAGTGCGTTGCCTGTAAATCAAATGTAATTCACATTAAAGATTATGAAGGAGATTAACTTGTCCTGTCCGTCTTATCCATCATTTCTTCACTCCCTGCACAAATCCATGAAAAAACCACACCAAAGCCTTTCCAAAACCTATACTGTAGCCCCAGTGACAGCCTCTTGCGTGAAAGTTACAAAACTATATTGTAGAACATCTTTCATTCATCTTCACGTGGTATTGTGTCAAGGTCTTTAAAAATAATGCAAGGTGGAGATTTTGCTTTTATTCACAGCTTTGCAGGATAAGAAGGACCTGAAAGCAGACCTTCACCTGAGAAGGCATCTACTTTTAAGGAAGCCGAAATAAAAGGTATCAATGTCAAAAGGGGCACTATGGCCTAAGGTTTCTAAAGGCACAACCCTCAAAGTCATACAACACTGGTATAAACGGAGAGCCAGCAGTCTACTGCAATCTACCTGATATATGTTCTGTGTTACGTTTATGTTAACTGGGAGAAATGAAGTTAATTGACCAGTAAAACAAGCAAGGGAAGGAAAACATACTGAACAGGTTTCCACCTTCTTCAACAAGTCTCGTCTCTCGGCCTGGAGCTGACCGATCTCTGCCGTCTGCGATTGGACTTTGCTTCGCAATGTTTCCAGCTCCTGTCGGGAGGCAAACCCATCAGGAAAAAAAATGTAATATAAACAGAAATGTTAACACTATTACACAGAGATCCGCTTTAGAAATAGTTTTACCTTCAGAAGCTCTGCATTGTTTTCAGAACTTGTAGCTATTCCTTCCACAGGTGGTGCTGGTCCTGATCTCTATGATTAAACAAACAAACTGCTCACTGACTGGGTTTTTCAAAGCATGTCATGTTTTACAGCTGAAAGGAAACACATTAGTTGGTACTTTATTCTTAGCATGCTTTGGCAAACCCATTTGTCAATAATGTAAAGGAATTACTGGATGTGCATACCGGGGCTTTCAAAATACATCCACCCAGCACGCAAACTGACAGGTACCCACGGCATTTTAACACCGAGTTCCTACCAGTTTGTCGATGAGGGCGTCCTTCTCTCTCAGCTGAACCTGCAGCTCTGCATGCTGTTTCCTGAGCTCCTCCACCTCCTCTCGGAGCCCAGTGAGCTCTTCAGACTGCAGCCCGTTCACCTGGGCTCCTTCGGCCTGGGCGCTGAGCTGCTGAGCGCTGTCCTTCCCTAGAGAAAACCACATCACGTCTGTCTAAAGGACCTAACAGGATTTACCCACTCATCCGCTCTGTAAGGATGAAGGCAATGAGAACCAACAAATAGCACATTATATTCTGAGAATTAGACTTAATCTGTCATCTTTTCAGGATTAAAAAAACAGAATGGTACACTTTAAAAATGCAATTACAGGGGGACTAGAAATTTAAAACTGTTTTTAGTGTATTTACTGTATTCTGTAACCACTTTTCATATTAATGGCAATTATTATTATTTTTAATAAACAATAATAACAATTATTTTACTTAAGCAAATGAATGGTGTCTGCATACTGTACCTAGTTTTAGCTTCAGGACGTTGTACTGATCTTTGTGCTGTTGTATCTGCGACAGCTGATGTGTTATTGTTGCTTGCATCTGTTCATTCTCAGTTTTCAAAGATGACACCTGCTCTTTCAGTTCATTTAGCTGTGTATCCTGTGTAAGGAGAGCATTCACATAATGACACTTCAAAATTACAAAATGTCTATGAGTCATTTGTAGAAACCTTGATTCACACACACAAGATGTAAACACGTCAAATACAGTACATCCTCAATTCAACAGACTTCGCTTTGAGGGATTTCAAGCAAAATCTAGTCAGAAGATCCATAAGGCATATAAATATATCATTATTATCTTGTATTATTGTGTGTTCTGGAGCTGAAAAACAGCATTTATGATTTATTGTACATTGCACCCTCCCATTAGTCTTCAAACTGAAGATTTACATTACTTTCTGTGCAAATGAAATAATACTCACGGATTTCCATATAATGAAATCACAAACCTTACAAAATTCAATCGAACACCAATTACCGATTTCAACACTTCCAGGGACAATAAATATGTGACTCTCTGCAGCGTGCGTTACCTGTTCTCTTATCAGTTCCTTGTACTGCGTCACAATACTGTCATGCTGCTCCAAAGTCTTCTTTACCTCCTCCTCTTTCTTCTCTTCCTCACTGGACTTGTGCACTGCCTTTGTGATAACACCTGGAAGATACAAAGCATTTTACTCCATTCAGCACAGGCTCAATACACATCTACATGGCATCTGGAAGACAATTTAATTTAACAGTATAACAATAACAATAACAGATCTAGATGGCCTTAAATGCAGGGAACGCACTTTTAAAAGAAAAGACTTGATAATAAAAGAGTTGGAAAACAAAATAAGGTGAAAATAGAGGGGAAAAACTCCTTCGAGACTCCTTTGAGGAATTAACGGACAGGGGACATGGGCAGCGATACTGCACACTCACCCTCTAGTTCTTTCACAAGTTTCGTGAACTCGTGGTCGAAAAGCATCTGCTCCGGGCTGGAGAACGTAGGCTGGGGCTTCTGAGCAGCTCGGGAGTACAGCTCATGCTTCGTGATGAAGCCCAACTTCTCCACAAAGTTCTCCTTCCCAATCCTTTTCTCAACAAGCTGCTTCAGTTTTTCTCTGAGGTTGCCGAAGGAGGAGAAGAAGCACGTAAAGCACAGAGCTTATTTCAAAAAGCGTTCCAGCCACAAGATCAAATTCAATTTGTACTATACAATGTATAAAGCAGTGACCCAACAGAACATTGTCACCCAACAAGTCTACATTCTCATGCATTCCCGTTGAATTTGAAATTCACAAACCTCAGTAGAGAAAAGCAATTGGCACAGCAGTCCAAGTTCTAAATCAAACACTCTGTGACGTCTCTTGCCGACACAAGAAGTCACTCCTTCAAAGTTTGGCTGCACTGCACCAACTGCCCCAAAGTGTTGCCAGCCAGAATCTCTGCTCCCGCACCACACTTCGGTACAAACAGCTCTGAAGGTGGTATGAATGGTATCTTTTCCACTGCATCTATATTATCGCTCCAGCAGAGGCAGGGTACGTGACCCACAGGCATGTTACCAAGTAATCCATTTTTTTTCTTTTCCCTTCCCACTTGAAAAATGGCTAAACAGAGCTGACGTGTATGAGAAGAGCAATACATCTTTTTTACTGACTCCATGTGTTCATAGGCACCCAGCGCATTCAGGGGAGTGCTGTTCCCAGCACTCCCAGCAGCGCCACATGGGGAATCCCCATCACATTCAGCAAGTAGAGTAGCTCAGGCTTTCGGACAACAGGTTCTCTATCTGCACTTGAGAAGCTCATAACATAACATAACATCACTTTATGAGCCCTATACAATTTCTTGCATTAGGAATTCGCATACCCCAGCTTGCTCTCCATGAGACACGGACACACAAACAGGGAGAGAAGCTCGAGTCACTCAAGAGGCATACAAATGCATTTTCACAACATTTACTGCACACTCACACTTTCATTTATGTCTTTGCAATCTGGGAAAACATTTTTTAGAAATTCATCCCAGCGAATGTTCATCTCTTCATCTGTTTGTTGATGTGCACTGCTCCTAACCATGTGGCACGAGTTGCAGGAAGATCCAGCTAACCATTCGACTGAAGGAAATCTGGGTGGAGTACAATCCAAACACACTTTCAAAGCCATTTCTTTTCCCAATGCTTTTTCTTTCCTTCCATGTAAAGGCCAAATGGCATGGGGGAAAAACAAAGCCATGAGGATACCCACTTGGTGTAGTTTTCCAAGGAGTTGTCATTGTAGTAGATGCAGATTCCCACAAGAAGCGCACACAGGCCTTGCACAAGCCGCTCATCCTCTCCGAGATTCTCGGAGATCTGCGCCGTGAGCTGGGAGGCGACGATAAGGATATATCACGCTCTTGGACAACACGTTTCAAGATCATCACGCAGCGCGCACTCTAAAAGAAAAAGCACACGCCGATCCGTCCTGGCTCTCCTTGCAGGAAAGCGACTGAAAGGATACAAATGGAATGTTGGCTTGATTGTGCAGGAAGTGAGTGACCGCGATGGGGCAGTTACTGATCCAGGTGCAAAGAAGCATGAGCAGACCAACTCTCGTCTGGACCTTGCTGCCCTGGGAAACACAAGACCGGAAAAACTGGTAAGGTTTGTGGCACTACTGACCACTGACCACTCTGGTTTTCTTCACACTATACTGCATTTTCACGATCTACGGGGAAGAAATACTTTAGAAATGCAATAGCACACCACAAATCCATTTAACAATGATTAGCGCTTACAATAGCCCAAACACGGGCCTTAAATTAGATCTAATTTTCTCTATCTAAAAAAAAACATAAACCAGACACTAGACAGTAGGCGACACATCTGAATCACAATTAATCAGAAGCTTCTCACCATTAGTAGTTAATATCAAATTATCAAAAAACACACCAACTGACATTACACTATTGCTTCAGGTTAGAAAATGAGCATGCATCGTATTATCCTGCAAGTTATTATTTACCATCCATCCACCTCCGATGCCAAACTTATTTTAACCGTCAAATTGGATTTTAAACTCTCAGTTTCTCCCACTGGAGTGGGCTGCAGCAGCTGATGCAAAGTCAGAGTCTAAGTCTAACTGATGCGAAGATGCTATAAATATACTAATTGCACCAAGAGATTTAATACCAGACTTAAATATGTTAAATGTTCAAATTTTCTGTGAAGCCTAAGACATGTAAGTTATTTTAAGACCTGTATTAAATAGGACTTTCTGCCAGACAAAAAAAAAACATTGGCATACTTACTCAAAATGTAAAATCAATCCTAGCTCAGTTCTCTTGTAAAATAAAACAAGACTTCTGCCTTGCTGTTATGAGAATCTGTGTAACTTCCATTTTCTAAGAACAGGCAAACAGAGTTTCGGATTCAGTTGAAATAATGGTTGTAAAAAATACACCACAAAAAGGAATCCATGCTGTTCAGACAGTAAAATTAGAAAGAAAAAATGCAAAGGACTACCCAAATATCCTAAATGTTACAGAGAAAGTCATTGCCAAAAACAAAATTAAAATGAGGCTCGAGAGGGGCAGCTTCAATCTATATTACGATGAACTGCTATGCTAGGAGGGGCACAGATGAAATAGAAAGAAAGGGATTAAGATATACTGACAAGGGGAAAAAAGGGATTTCTGTGGCCACAGGCATTCTGCCACGGGAGGAGACCCACCACTAAATGATCACTTCATAGTGATATTGTAATGTGCATTTTTTTAACAGGATTCATCAGGTTTAGAAGGCACTGAATCAGACAAACGAAAGAGCATTCCACTAGAAGAGAGTAAAATTGAGCACCGCTTCAAATCCACACTTAAAGGTGTAGGCGAATACGATTATTGGTGTTAGAACATTGATACTGCTCGTTTAGGAGTTCATACTATAGATCTTATTTTTTACATTTGAAAAACTTAACTTGTGAGCTGTGTAAATGTAGGTGCAAACCTATTCTCCCAAGGGCATCGATAGCTGGTTCCTAGTTTTAAGTCACGGGGTATTAAGTCAGGTTTAAATGTCATTGGTGCAACCAGCCCTAAGAGACTCGGGGTCCCATAAAGACATATCCGACACTCAAATATCTGCAATTAAATTTGCACAGACGGATAATATAAGTAGGCAAGCATTCTTAGGTCACCTTCAGCTGCAAAAAAATATCCATGCTGAATTTCACTAATTCAAATGAAAAAGAGTCAAACACGACCAATTACGCTTTCACCAACTGATTCACAGCTAGTTTAAACACAAAAATCATTCGCATGAAGGGAAATTTACTTTCCAGAAGAAAAATCCTGGTCTTTTTTCCGCATGTTTTTGAAGGAAAGTTCCTTTACGAAGTCTTTTCCCTGTGGTTTCAGAACAGAGTCCTTTAACTGCTGTGTCTGAGAGTCCAGCACACATTTCCCGAGGATTAGACAGCCTTTTCAGACTAATTCTCTAATCTCATCTGATGTGAAAGAACATAATTGTTTGCCACCCTCCTGCAAAGCTGTTTTCCTGCCCACCACCAAGGAGTCAATGTCAGGCCTGTGAGAGGTAATTGAAGGAGAAGTTTTGTAGGCGTCTCTCCATGTTTCAGGACCAAGCACAAGGCACTGGAAACCAAACTAAAGGAGTTTCCTTTCAGGTAACAAAGTGTCTGTACCCGCAGGGGGATGGGGAATCCTGCTTCTGATTTTCAAATCATAAATGGGCCGAATTGCCTGTTTCATCGATTTAGAAACTCAACATCAAGCTGCACTCAAAGAAACGAGTGCTCGTGTCCTCTGCTTGGTCGAACCATGCTGAAAAGCAGGGCTGAACTACACTCACAAAAAGAAAATGCAAGTCAAATATGACAAAACTGCTACGTTGTGTCCAGTTATTGCTCTTCTGCTTTAATTGTGCTGTTGTAAGATATTACTTTGCATGATCAACTGATGTTTAGAGCAAAACACAGCACATGCCAAATAACAGAAATATTGCAAAATGCATGCAAATATTTCAAAAATGTTTTTTCTCAATATGCATGGTCTGATTTGCTTTTTATACTTTATAGTCACTAGCACACTACGTATAACATAAGTATATTCCTAGCAGTGCATGGCACAGGTCTTTAATCAAGATAAAGTTGCCACGTTAATTTATGTATGAAATATTCATATGCAGTCATATGGCATGTTTAAATGATAAAAAAAAATATTAGACTTCAGCTTTTGATTTAGCATTCCAAAATTGAAATGATCATGGGAAGAATAAAATAAAATAAAAAAAAACTGCCGCCTTTTCATATCTTACAGAGGAAGCAGAATTTTCAGCAGGAGAGCGATCTGTAATGGAACACTGCCCCCTGGGGGTCAGCAGGAGAAACAGCATCAAGTGTTGAGAGTCCTGTCCCCAGCTCCTCAATCAACACAGTCCACCACAGTTTACCCAGATCTGCCCTGTTGCCCCTCGGCAGGAACTCCCACAGAGCAGATCAGGTAAAAGCTCATTGTGACGGGTGAGTAAATCCGAAATGAAAAAAAAACAAAAAAACAATGGGTGAAATCAGCACGTTACAGCGTAAGGAAGCCAGAACCAAAATGGAGAAGCACCCTGCTGATGCCAAGCGAACGCTCACTGTGGTGTCCAGGTCATTACTTACCCTCCGGCTGATCTTATCGCCCTGAAAATCACAATGCGGAAAATTTCAAATTCAAAAACGTGGAAGAAAACTCACATCTGTGCTTTTTTTCATTCCCTGTCACAAAGGGTACTAGACCAGTCATTCCTGATGTGCACCATGGCTGCAGCATGAAAGATCTGGGCTTTCCTATTACCTGATCTGAGTTACCAATGGCCTTATCTTCCTGGGACTCGTACGTGCTGGAGGCTACCTGTCTCAATCATGAGGAATGTAAAAGAAGTAAACGTGAGCCACTAGTGTGGCCACCTGTTTTATACTGAACAATCCCTGTGTGAAGGTGCACCAGGTACTGTCCTAAGAGTCCCCAGACATAACAGGCACCTTCCAATTCCACATCTTAGTACAGTATAAACACAGCACTCCAACACACCGGATCCTCTCCCACTGAGCTTACTCACTGACATTCATTAAACAGTAAGGTCTTCATTAAACAGTAAGTCATTACAATAAGTAAAGCATGTTAATTGACAGCTTTTGCACTGGAAGAATTTCTTAGAAATGGGTCCCTAAAGCCAGTCACACCTCAAAAGCCATGAGGAAGACTACAGCAATGACATGAGCAGGACAGACAGCACCAAACAGGATGTGGTCAGATCCTAAAACACCAGTGGCTCCCCCCTGCTCCTCTCTCTGCATGCCGAGCTGACATGGCAGAAACCTCCAGCTGTAATAGCTCTGTTTTGGTAAGAGATTAATGATCCTGGGCGCGTGCTGGGTTCAAATTAAAAGCCGTGTTCAGCCTTAAGGCACAAGGGCAGACAGGAGGATCAGAGCCCAGAATATGACAATGTTCATTTAGCAAGAATGCTGCAAGCTCATCAAGAGAGCAGGCTGCCAAGCATGAGCTCAAAGAGGGAAAAGGCTGGGAGGCACCTTGTGCTTCCTGCCATCTTACTAACCTCTTCCCCTGTCCAACCACACAACCCCACTGATTACACAGGTAGAAATGATAACAATCAGCTATGGGTCTTTTTAATATCCTGCATGTGCATCCGTTTCAATGGGGACCTGAACATAAAGCATAAATCTAAACCAGGCAAGTCTGTTGAATTGGTTATTGAATGGATTGCGGGTTACTGAGCCAGTCTTAACACAAGTTCAAGCCTTAACATGGGATTCAGAGCTTTGAAAATAAGAAGTCAAACAGCTTTTTTAACATTTACAACAATTTCCAGTAAAAGACCACGAGTTCTCTTTAAGATGCTGAGATTTACTGGGATAAAAAGCTGATAAAATGTTGAAAATGTCCAGATGTCAAGACAATCCCAAATGGTCTTTGAACCAATTTTAATTACGCAGGTATGAATTTATTTTTTTAAGCGATCACAAAGATAATGCTAATTGTTTAATTCTATTATACAAATATAAACTGCTACTACAATACGTCAACATGCTCGTATTTAAGTTTATATACATACAATAAGTTATTTTCCCCATTCATCTCATACCAGGAATGGCCAGATGAGAACCTACACCTATGAATTTCATCAGACAATATAAACCTGGGATTTATTAGCAATAGGCAAATTGGGCGTTTATCGTGCTACAATACTATATATGGTTGTGGACATAATTATTACATTAGCAAGTTTCAATTTTGTAAATTACATATCTATAATGTATGTAATATCAGTAAATAATAAGGAATGACAAATACCCAAACCCAAATAAGCACTTTAGAGGTGACAATGCAAAGCCATAATAGAAGCATGCATGACAGCCTCCCAGCACAACTGTGAAGAGGAGTTTGAGTTCAAATTCAGAATACCATCTGGTTTTCAAACTGACTTATCAGCCATCCCTGTGTTGTTTCATGCAGTACCTGCACTTTGAACCATCTCAGATAGGAAACTTGAACCTTTTCTTATGACATGGATGTGAAAGAGTGTCTTTACTTAACTGGTGATAATGCTTCCCCATTGAGGGAAACAGTAAACACTAAGGTGATACAATACTGTTCCCACATACTGCAATCCACCATGTGCTATGTGATCTGTATAAATCAACCAGCCAAAAGGCTCTTCCAAGACTATCACGGGCATACAGACAGAATCACACACAGAGAAAGAGAGAGAGCACAATGACAAAGTGCAAAATCACAGATAACCCTTTTAAAGGGGAACTGCAATGTTATTTCATTTTTGGGGTTAGAAAGAATCAGCACCTATGAGTGCATTTCAAACTGCAATAAAAGTAAAATGTACACAGGAACTTGTGAAACCTCCAAATTTCCAGGTATGTGCCGCGCCACGTTCTGCGATTCAGAACAAAGTGAATCAGTCCGGTGACACTGTAAACAAACAGGCTTGTGAACACATCTCTTTTAACCTAATAGAAATATTGCTTTCGAATTTGAGACTTTTTGGCCAACAAATACTACTTACTTGTTAACTCTGCATGCAGATCACATTAAAACCCTCCTGCAGTGAAATGTCTGCTGGACAACTTGTATTTATTCGCTCATACATTACAATAAATTAGTCATTACAGTGACTAGTGAGCAGGAAGGGCAGCATTACGGCGCAATTCATTGTTAACTCGAATGTGAGTTTGTGACAACATGGTGACTTGCAGTACTTTCACAAAGTTCGCGGTTTTGTGCTTAATTTGTCATTTTCTTCTGCAACGTCAATTAATTTATTTAGTTACCGAGATTTAATCAGCGGTCTGAGAAACTGGGACTGCAGTTCCCCTTTAAATGTTATAAGAAGAAACCCCCGGAGAAAGAAAGCTGGCACCCTCCAGTGCCGTGACACTGGAAGCGCGTCTTTAGACCCTGAGCGTGCGGGCGTCCGTCTGCTCGTACCTGGGAGAGGATATTGGTGCACTGCTGCAGCAGCGAGACGGGAGGGTTGCCCAGGCTGGTGGCCAGCTGGACTCTCAGCAGCTGCTCCTTCTGCGTCAGGTTGTCCTGCAGCGCATGGGCCAGCGCCACCGCCGCGCACCAGTTCGACAGGGAGTCCGCCGAGAAGAGCCCCCCGCACAGCAGCTGGCCGGCCGAGATCGAGTTGGCTTGCGGGAAAACAAGGCCGAGATCACATCAAGCCAAGTCCCGCGTACGGCGTCTAACACCGCGCCAAACGAAAGCTTTACTTTCCCCGCGCTGCCGCTGAGTGAGTGACTCGCTGCACCTGAGTCGAATCCCCTTGAGATACGAGTGAGCGAGCCCCCAGTCGTCATTCGTCCGTTAAGAGCACATTCGCTATTCCGCTACACGCAATTCTTCTTGTTATGGGAATCGGTTCAGTATGCTGTTCGGATCTCCGGCTCAAGTGTACAAGGTTTTAGGTTGAAAAGTTAACTACTTATTAACCTTATTAATCTAGGACTAGACTGAATGTAGAAAAAACACTAATGTATAAAAGTCCTTTAAAAAACAATACAATGACACAAACAGTTAAAGGGGAGCACTACTATGTAAAAAGGTTGAAGACAATTTCTTGAAAGTAGGGAAAAAGCAATATATTGCTGAAAATGATTTGTTTTGCATGTCCAAACCCAATTTCACAATCCACATATGAAAAATGCCCTGAAAACCAAATTGACCCAAAAAACAGATTATAATTTTGGTTAATGTTATCTGAAAACCTTCCTTATTGGGTCTTGTTCCCACTTCGCAATCGTTCAAAGGGGTTTCTATTTCACTGAACACAAAAACTTCTTTCTATTCCAGTTCTTACCACAATCCAATACCACAGGAAAAGCTCTTTAAAATATCTTTTGTAGCTCTACGTATAAAGACATTTTTACCTGTACTTTACATACATTAATTTTATACCCCAGTTTTAAAAAAAAAAACAGTCAACAGTTCCTCACCATCAATAGTTGAGGGCAACAGTGTGGCAACAATCTCTCCTTGGCCTTTTTGGTTTTTGTAGAGAAAGCACTGGAAACAGTAGAGGACCGCACACCGGAGAACAAACGGCTGTCGTTCATTCACCATGGACATCAGGAGTACGACAATGGCCGGTCTGCGGAGATCAGGGAGCCATGTTAGCACTCATGCTGGTACTGTGCTTAAAGCTGCCCTAGAAAAAAAATACTTTGCACAACCAGGGCTGAAGTTTCCCAGAAAGGGCCCAGTGCAAGTTAATCCAGTGCCAAGTGTTGCTATAATTTAGCCCAGTTTCCCCAAAGAGATCATGTGATTAGTTTAGTCCAATTTCCCCCAAAATGTTGCCTACTTAGCCCAGTTTCCCCCAAAAAAGTCTGTTGCCGTTTTCCCCAAAAGATTACGCCAGTAGTTTAGCCCCGTTTCCCAAAGAATCAGTCACTTGTTTTGACCAGTGTCCAGAGAGAAATCGGCCAGCTCCACTGAACTCTTCAAAAGCACAAGAGGAATATCCCACCTGGGGGGGTTGGAGGGGGCGTTTACTGAGGCAAAGTAGTCCTGGTTCACCTGAGAGCCTCGGATGACCTCAGATACAGTGTTAATGGTCTGCACAGGGAGAAAAGGCACAGCAGAGAAAATATGATATAAGGTGTATCTTCATCTTCATAAATTAGACTATTTACAAAGAGTACAATGGAATATGATGTTTAAGTTGATGGAGCTCAGTATCAGCTGTGCTGCACAGTAGCTGTTCTAATCATTGGGATGAGACAATACCTTTCATTCAAAGATATCTCTAGATGAAGGTGGCGATACGATGACCAGACTATTTTTAATACATAACCAGTCATTATTCTGTCATAGGGTCCCACATACATCTGCTCTACAATAACAAGAGCAAACATAAATCCATTAACACTTAAAAAATGGGAAGCTGATAAACAGGATACATTATTTTGCAGATGAAATGGTAAGTATAGAAAGGTACTGTATTCCTTTACAGAAACCAAAGTATGCTTAGAGCTCAGACTGAAAGGACACGCTGCATTTTTCAGGCCGTTTAATAATGGAACTTACTTCTGGAAATCAGGGATCAGACATGTTTGATAAATTGTCAGAAAGTATCATTTTCAGGTTCTCAAGTACCGGGTTTAGGAATTTGGAACTTATTTCATCCACTCACTTTGCAGGATGTAAAAGCAATACTATATCATCTCCTGAAAGGATTAAAACCACAGTCCATTCAGTGGCCAATTCTGAGTTACAGATACAAACAGTAAGCGGCCAACTTTATTACAGCTTTTTCGGATCTGTTAATATACATAAATCAAAGCAAAGAGCTGTTAACCCTTTGCGATAGCTTGCAAAATAACAGTTAGACTCTTCTAAATAAAATTAAACCAAAAAAATCCCCCCAGGCTCACTGAAGGCACCGTAGGAGCTACATATATTCTCTTCTTGTGATACGCATTTTAAGTAGGAAAACAGCAATTAGAGACTGACACTCTTTTATTGCAGGTGCCGACTCTGAAAAGCACCTGACATGCCAGACGTAACACTTAATCTCCACGTGCCAACTTTGGGGTTTGTAGAAAAACTCTGTCTTTACGACAACATACGACAATTCGTGACTTTGGTTACAGGCAGCATAGCACAGCAACAAGGGGATTTGCTCCATGTTCACTTTTGCATGACACTGCCTTCATTGTCAAACACATGAATAAATTCTCCAAATGCTTCTACATCTTGGCTCCGTCCTCTCAGTTTATTTTCGTCCGCTTTCAGATCGCGAGGGAAACCTGATCTTAAACAGCTTTTGGCTTTTCGCCTCCCCCCAGACATTTCTTTTGTTTTTGTTCTACAAACAACACGCACTCAGTGAGCAGCCTTCAGTGAAGCTCCACAGAGTGGTATTCAATATTCGATTCAGTATACTATGACACCAAAAAAGCAGAGAAAGAAACAGACTCTTGCTCTCAAACTATATTTTGTTCATCTGTTTTACCATAAACTGACAAAACCATTTATGTGCTCTTATTGCTTAATCTACCTAAGGGGTGCGATGCTTATAGCTTTCTCCTCAGACTGGAAGATTTAAAAATGGCAGACTTTCAGGAAAAGTAATGTACTTTAGTTTTGTTTAACACCAGCACTGAAATGACCTACAGAAAGTGTCACTGTAAATGGTCCTTTTTGTTTTAAAGTGGACTGTTATCGCTAAGTTAAACAGCATAAATGTAAGTGCTTTGGAGACACCAAGCGCTGCAAAAGAATACTCTCACTGAGGAAGATGTCCAGAGATCAGAAGAAAACAAAAGCTCGTACTTCAGTCAGAATGTCAGCAGGGACGCCAGTGGCCATCAGGATGGTACAGAGCTGCTGCAGGAGACCACACTGGTACATCGCCTTCTGACAGCTGCTTGTAGCCCCCGGAGAATTGACTGGACAAACCATCACTCGGACAAGCTGACCACAAGAGTAAAAAGAGAAACAGCATGATAGAACAACTCTTCACAGTTAAGCCTTCATTGGTTACAGAAACAATCACAACCTGACTCTAATCTGCAGTATACTGTACTGAACCATCAGCACTTTGTACTGCAACGCACTGAGCTGCAGAATCACGTGTGTTCCAGTAGATGTCAGCATCAGTCTAGACAAGGGGCAGAAGTACAATATTCCATGATAACGCAGAAGTGAGCAAACACGGAGCCATTTAAAGGCTGGAGACGCCGAGCTGGGTTAAGGAATTCACCTTTCCCCATGTCTGTCATCTCTGTTACATGGGATGGGCCTCCCTTACCTGCAGCATGAGATGGAGATTGGTCACCTTCTGCGCTGACCACCCCGAGTTGTCGTCCCCCACCTCGAACCAGGGCTTCATTCGCTGGATGTAGGAGCCCTCTTTGAAGAAGTTCTGATTGGAGCTGTTGTTCCTCAGAAGATTCAGTAGCAACAGAAGGCAGTCCTCTACCACGATGCCTGAAAGTAATAAGAGTTTCAGGCTGAAGCTGGTCAAGTGGGTCCAATACAGCAGGCGTAACGGCAAGCCTACAGTACAGAGCAACTCTCGGGGCCTTTGACCAACTTTGTATGCAAACGTCATTAATTGAGACTGTGACAGAGGGATCTTCGTCACTGTCCACGGACAGTACATTACACACACCATGACATTCAGTTACCTGTCAGAAACCTAGCTTATGAGGGTACACACATGGGGCTTGGATAGCAGTTTCCCATTTCATATAGGCAAAACCATAACCCTATTTTACTTCTAAATCAGTTCCTGTTATTTATAGAGAAATCTGACATACACACACACACACTCAAGGATAACATTACGTTTTTATTTTATTTCTATCCGTGTGGAAAAAGAGCACCCTGTCTGCTTTCCTTTTTCCTCGTAGTTGTTTATCACTACTTGATTTTTAACACCACCTTTAAGTTGGAAATTTAGAGACGGTCTGAAATAAATGACTCATTCTCACAATGAGAAAAAGGTGTATGGCTTAATCAAATATCCCACTCCTGCCACCTGCTTACCTCCATCACTGTTACCCTCTTCAGTAATGATGTCAAGCAGTCGCTCAAAGGCATTTTCGAAAGCAACTATTTTTTGAATGGCCGCATTTCCTTTGGTCAGCTGTTGCAACAACAACAGACCCTACAAAAGAGAAGAAAAGAATACTTTTTTTTTTTTTAATCGGGTGCCAGTGCCAGTAATTTTCCATTGCTATAGGTCTTGGGGTTGAAAAAAAAAACTGCACACACTAAACTTAACTACTTACGTCATTTCGTATAACTTCTCTTGAGTCGGCTAATAAATCCATCAGTCTTGAAACACCTGTGCGGAAGGGAAAAAAAATGACAACTAAAGTTCTGGCAGTTCAAAAAATAATACTCTTACAGCAGTGTTGTTTTCTTGCAAACACACAGAGAAACTGAGGTTAAAAAACTAAGTATTTAAAAATATATTTTAACAAACTAAGTTTACATGTGTACTAAAACCATCTACCAATAATATGGCAGCCTTTGCTTAATAATGCCAAAGGCAAAAATTTATGAAGGCAGAGGCTTGTGTGCTGAAATTATAACAGATGTACTGATGTACTGCAGCATCTGTTTCTGTTGCACATATTCCTGCACATTTCTTTGCTTGAAGAGTAGCAGCATTAAAAGATGGAATTAAAACCTATAACCTGAACTAACCCATTGGACTGACAAGGATAACCCCTTGAACCTGAGCACACTGGTTCTTCAGCAGGGCCGTAAGAAGCTTCACTCCTGGCCAGCGCACATGGAAATCAAACTCCTGAGAAAGCACAATTCACAAACCGTCAATATTTCCACAGATGACTGAAGAGCTCTTAAATGACACCATGCTTCCTTATATGCAGTTTAAACCATAGTTGCTCTCGAATGTTAATGTGTTTCTCACCTTTGTCAAGTCATAAACAAGGTCAGAAAAAAGTTTTAAAGAAAAACAAAATGTACTCAATTACCAATGAGATAAAGCAATTTACAAAAGTCCCAATGTACTGTAACTGCGAAAAACTGGCAAAAACTAAAAATGGTCAAGAGACAGTGTATTAAAACCAAACACCTTACATGCCAGTTTAGTATGTAGACGAATACATATTAAAGAAAACATTAATATAATGAAAGATCTTGCATCAATACTAATGAAACTTTAATTCATTTTAATTAATATAAAAAATGACGCAGCCTAACACAGAAATAAAGTTTTAATCCGTTTTCCAGTGGCAGAGTGGGTTTAAATCTGCGGTGCCTGGTGAAGACACACCTCCAGAAGTGACAAGAGCAGAGTGACGTTCTCCTGTTCCTTAATGAATATCTCGGTGAACTGCACCCCCAGATCATCAGCTTGCTTCTGCGAATTCTCCTCTGCATCAAAACAAGAAAAAAAACAACACACTTGGGCAACAAGTCGAACAAGTCTTTTATATCCACAAGGACTAAACATGTTTTAACGGAGGGCAAAAATTAATAAAAGAGGAGGATGACAGGGAACATATAGAAAAGAAAAACAGAAACGATCCCTTAATGCAGAAACCTGTGATATCAGTGAAATGTGACAAAACTACATAGCAAAAAGGACAAATAACTATTTTGTAGCAGAAGCTAGAATATTAATGCAAGCAAGACAGTTTTTGAGTTATGACATTCCGTGTCACTTCAGCAAAATATAGTAGATTCTTGTTAGCAACAAAGTCTGTCCCCTAGAGCTATGCTGTTCTTAGTTTCATTAGCCGTTATCAGGATTGTCATTTCAGCAACAGTAGCCTGCTGGTCTGATTCTTAAAACAACTACTGTACGAAACCTGATTTTATTCCATGTACTCCAAGTTCATGTTCCAATTGAGTTCTTACTTATATTACTGCTGTGTAAATGACAGACCATCAGGATTCAATCAGGAATGTCATGAGCATTAAAAATATACGTAATGCCTCCACTAGTGTTATCTACTGTTACGACAAGTCACACCAGCGTATAACAAGTAACAGAAATTAACACAGCAGAGTCTGTGTGAGAAGAAACCAGACTTGTCATTTAACAATATTTAACTTGCATGAAATGTCATAGCTGCTAAATCTACCACATTTACCTCTTAAATCCAACTGTCAGATGTTCCTCATCATCAACATCCTTTTATCCTCTCTACACATCCATAAAGTCAAAAATATACCCATTATACTACAAACTACCAGGACTAACAATTGTTTAAAATAAAATATCCAAGATTTCAGCAGAAGGCAGCCAACATACTTAATGAAATTGAGTAGAACAATACAAAGTGTTTATGACTTTTGTACAGCATTGTATATATCAACAATACCCTTTCAAATGTGCACATTTTTGTGCTTTGAGATTCTGCACACAATCTTAAAAAAGGCTTCCAAAGCACTTTATTAGTATTTTGCCTAGGATTTTTTACTCAGGAGACTTTAAGCATTTGTTGACAAATTTATGCATAGTATACCATTGGAAGGAGCAAATGTCATTTGTGCTAACAATTCTTTTCCCAGAGTTTAGCGGCATGTTTATCAAGGATTGCCTTGAATGGATTTAACCTGAAAGCAAACTACCTGATAAAGTGTAATTACGGTACTAAATTACATGTTTGTATCGATATTCACCTGTCACACAGTCATATGGCAGTTGGATCATAAACATTCAAAACTTGCTCTTAAGCTCCAGCTACGTTATTCCTATCCCAGCAGGAATAACAGAAAACCATTCCCAAATAAAACAATGTCCTTAAATCCCTGTTTCTTTTACAAGATGTTGCTGCAAACAAGCATCTACCAAGCTGTGTTTAATGTTGCGTTTTATATTTAAAAACCTACAATCATGTAACACTGAAACTTAGAAACTTCAACAGAGCCAAAGGGCTTAATTTGTGCTCAGGCCTGTGCAGACAGAGAGTGTGGAGCCATCTAGACCTTTCAGAACGGCTCTGTCCAAGACAATGAAGGCTCGAGCATTCATTGCAGACCTTCTGAGCGGACTCAGGCCCTGATTATAGTCATAGCTCTTCATCCATTCTTAAAATATTTCATACCAAGACCTGGAAGCAGAACTGTATTTTGTTTTTAAAAAAACACATGTGAAAACTAACACGTAAGTATTAATATCTGAATTCTTTTGCTGATGCAAGCTTTTGACCGTCTGAGTGTAAGCAAACAAGCATGCTTTTAAGTTTAGGGGAGAGTGTTAAAATAGCTCTTATAGGGTGTGCCCACCACCTGTAAAACAGTATTCTTATAAGATAATCAGCAAGTATGAAACAAAACACACATCCGTTTTTTTTGAGTAAATGAAAACAAATGACAAAAAAACCTCTTAGTGATACTCACGATACCCATTTAAAGGTTAAAAACACAAATGTGAGTGAAAGAGTAAGGGCCACATTATTTTAGTGTGTTCAGACTACACAATATTCAGTGGTTAGTACTGTAGAAGTAAAGTATTGGTCTTGGATTAAAATGCAATTTAAAAGACCTTTATCCACTACTTTATGTGACTTTGGTGAAAGTCCTGTTGCTGTCTACTAACCCAACATAACGGATTTACTGTTTCGCTTTCCCAGACCTGAGGAATCTCCATCTGTAAAGACGAGAAGGGGAATGAAGCCAAAATCCCTTCCCACACTGGATGTTTTACAAAAATATTGGACTGCAAAAACTCACTGACTGCTGTTAAGGGTGAGTGGTCCATACTTTCCTTATATTCAATTTATTCCTCTGTAATTTACAAATCAGCACTTTTACAAAAAAATACAATTTTAGTCTAAGAAATGTTCATGAAAAGTTCTGCTGAAAAAACTCTTTGGATAAAAAACACAGCACCTCTTATGGATTTGTTTTGTTCATTACAGTAAGACTGTATACAGTTCCGGTTCTAAGTATGTCAGGAAAATATCTTAAATTCTGATTAAAAATATGTGCAGGTATTAGCTCACATTCTGGGCAGTTCATGCCATGTAGACAAAAATCTGCAATGACACTAATTTCAAAGAGTTAACTAACATCTTTACAAATGAAAAAGTTTTTTGGTAAATGCGACAACTAGCTGAGGACTCCAAATTCTTTTTTTTGCTACATTTCTTATACGAGATGCTCCCAAGCTAACTGGAATTTTCATTTTGTTTGCCTCTACTTGTGTTCTTTACTTACACATTTCCAAGAGAGGTACTGATCAGATTAAAGGCTTAAAATGTATTTTCATTTTGCAAAGACTCTCACAGGTCTATAAACAGTACCACCTCTGGGATATATCTGCAACTTGTAAAGGTTCGTAGAGTATTTCGGTTTTCATTAACATATAAATGTAAAAACACTGATTATAATATCGCTATAATACTTTTATCATCCTCCAGAGAAATGTCAACCCACATAAGACACAAATAAATTGCATGCTTTCCTCAGAAATTGTCAAACTTTCAAATCCATGTTTTTATACAGAAATATAATTGGTAACATTTGTAAGTAGTAGTGGTTACATGTTAAGAAGCATCATGCAAAAATAAATTTGATTACCTTCTGATTCCTCTGCACAATTAAACATGGAAGAGAAGAAAGTTGATCAGCGAAGAGACAATTGTTAACAAGACAAAAAACTTCAAACAAAGGGAAAAAAAATCAACCTGGAACTTTCCTAGCTGTTTCAGGCAAGATCGTGTATCAGGTCTTCCCAAATTAATTCAATAAAAGATTTTTTTTTTTTTTTAATCGCAAGATATAGTGAGTTTTGAGATGCTAACAGAACAAAGACTAAATATATATGGGAAATGCTTCCTTCTTGATGTGTTGGAGATAATCATAGTAGAATTGGTATCAATAAAGCTTAAAAACATGATCGTTTGTGATTCTACACTTTACATATAATATCTTATTACATCTAATAATTACATCTGAAATGCTGCATATATTTATTGCATTTCATTATTTATATTTGGCATATCTCAAGCGGCGTTTTAGAACTGAAAAACTCTAATACAGGTTAAAGATTGAAAACATAAAATACCTGGTTCCTCCTCTTCATCATTAGAGATCATATTGTACAGAGTTTCCAACGCATATCCAATGATTTCTGAGTCTGATCTACAATAAAGAGAAAATGGAGTGAATGATCCAGACATTTTGAAGAAACATCAGGGTAAAATTGCAATTTTCTTTATAACTTCCAAACATTGCAGTAATTGCAATGTTACATACCTGTCTGCTTGTAATATGTTAACCAGGTGACCCATCGCCTGCGTACCAACTTCAAGACGATATTTCTGTAGGACAAAACAATTATTTATAAAGGGAATTTTGTAAAGAGCTATAATTGGGAAATTACCTGTTATGTTGTAGAACATTAAGATCTGGATATATGAGGGATGTTCACAATGTTGTGAAATTCAGGTACATATAAAATTATAATTTCTTTCTTAAATTAGTCACCTTTCATCACAAAGTACTCAGTCCATCTGTCCTTTAAACTTCCAATTATCCACTGACAGAACTCATCTTTATCCACCTGGCATCAGCGAACTTCAATTAAACATCATCATGAAACCACGTGCAGATCAGCACAGATTTCAGATGAGTAACGGCCACTGGGGTTCAGAGGGACAAAAATAATGATTCAACTATTCAGACCCATGTTGGCCAAAAACATCCAGTTACCTCTGACCTTGGAAATATAAGAGCACTGGCGTGCAGCTGAACAGCAACCTGATAGCATGCTTAGAGATACTGACAAGTAGCGGCATTTTTGCATGACGTAATAGCAATGCCATGAATTAACTGCACCCCTTTTTTGGGGTCCCAGAGAATGCTGACCATTATCTTGACCGGCTATGGATGTAATGTGGAACGTCTTCAGGCTGGAATATGAATAAAAGATTACTTGAATGGAAATAAGATTCAGGAGATTTCGAAAAGGGTAGGACTTGCTTAAAAAAAGCAATACATAAACTGAATAAGCAATCACAATAATGCATACAAACCATATGACATGGTATTTAGAAGGTTTCTGACATAAGTATTTCTCAAATCCACTACAGGTTTCCCAACCATACACTCAAATCTGATGCTCTGACTTCTTCTAAGAAATGGCTGAGTGTAATCCCCTGATTGGTTAGCTATTAACAGCTTTAATCAAGATTGTTGTTTGGCTATATAGGCCAAAATGCTATAATCAAGAGCCATTCTAATCTTCTAGGTGCTCCTACTGTTCCGATTATGTCTCTGTCTCCAGTTTCCATCATTAGCTACACCTTGGAAAAACCACGTCACTTTCTGGTTACTGATGATGACACAAGCTCTGCTGCAACAGAGTTGATAAGCTGGAACAACTGGACTTAAGGTCTCGGGTGGTAAGGTGTCTTTAATGCAGAGATTTACTATTTGGTAGAAACTTTTGACAGGTCAAGATATTCAGCAATAATTGCAATAAATTCCAAAAATAAATGCCAAAGTCTTCTGTAAGTCGGGGAGCTCTGATCTGTCAGAGACAGCACTTCATGTTTCCCGCATCACAGCTAGTTTTTGCGGGACTGGTGGTATCTGCAGTTCCGCAGACCCAAGATCATCTGCAATGCATTCCTCGTGCTAAACTCCCTTTCGTCCACCACATCCCTGTGGAACAATGAAGGGCAGCTTTCCCCTGACAAAGCAATTGTGCTTCCATTCCTTCATCCCTGCACTGCAGTCCAGCGTCATAACACTCACTTCTCAATCGCCCTGGATAGAGGACAGCGTTAACTGTTCACAGATGGTGACAACACCATGCAATCAGGTATAAATGCTAAAGTATAGTATAGTCCTGCATACTATATAGTCCCAGTAATGCAAATCAAATGCACTGTAATTTCAGCCTATAATGCAAGGGCAAGCCTGTGCATTTGAGTGTTTGGCAACCTTGCGAAATACGAGCATAAGAAACAAAAGTCGGCCCTTCGTCTCCTCAGCTGCCATAGTCGATCCAAGAATTTTATCCAGGCTTATCTCGTCCAGTTTGTTGAAAAAAAAGCCAAGTTATCCACTTCAGGTACGCCAGACTGAACTCCAGACTATTCAAGAGCAGAAAAAGGGCTAAAGGAGGCCAATTACCACACCAGTGTATTTAGGTATGCATAACAGATCTATATACTACTGTAACTGGCTAATCAAGTCCCCACAAATTCTGGACTTAACAATTCCATAAACTTGTGTATGTATTTTCCCCAATCAGGCCTACTTATGTTTCTGATATGAATGATTTGTATTGCATTATTGGGATTGTTTTGTAATGTTGGTGGCTGACATCCCACATTGAAGAGGAGTGCTGCAAGTCCATTACACTCATTTCATTACCTATATCTTATTGATCCAAAGACTTAGTCAAGCTGCCTCTTGAACAAAGCCACTAAATCAGCTTCTGCCTCACGTGGCTAGGCAGAGCGGTGGTTACACATAACAACAAAAAGGTGCCTCCAATGCACTCTCCTTCCTGAAAGGCGGAAATCTTTTCCTCATACTCAGGGCCCAGATGTCAGGCCAGTTAGTCCAGCCTTTACCATGAGACTTGACTGAAGCACTGCCAGCAGCCGCATTTGATTATCAATAGCTTCATTTGCATTTGTAAATAGAATACCTGACCACACAAGAATAATGGTGACGAGGAAAGTAAAATATGTTTGAGGAGGCTAAAATAAATCACTTGCACTCTGATGTGCTGCTGTATGCACCCCCAGTGCTGACTGTATTATGGACAATAATTTGCACATAACAGGATCAGCACGTAGAAAATGTGACAGATACGTAGCTCCTGTAGGTCAGCCTTTAAAGATAATGCTGTGAGCTCTCACTGGGTCTGCAAGCCACGGGGACCTCTGTCACAAAGCATGCTAAAGACGATCTGACTCAAAACCCACCTCGCAATGTTAGCACTCAGGCTGATCACAAGCCACCTACAAACACAAACCAAATCCCACCCAGAAACCCCTGGCTGTAGGACCTAACTTCCAGTCAGGGGAGAGACCTTTGTTGGTCAGGCAAAGTGATGGACCGATAACTGACAATTCAGAAAACAATCACCAAATTATTCCTTTTGATTTTGCAAACTAAAAACTGAATTTGCAATCTGAAGAAGGACATCA